TGTTGGTCCCACCATCTGCAGTTTTGCTGTAGAGATGTGAACTGGTTGTGTCTGAGCACAGAGTAGCTCTTCCCCTGGCATATGCTGCTTTAATTATTGGTAATACATACCGAGGTGCTAAAGGTCTATGATGCTGTGCAAAAGTTACAGTGTACCCTGGAAAAATGCTGAAAGATTATTCTTTTATAACCCTTGGCACATTAAAGTGAAAAAACCTCACAAACCCTCATTAGATGATGATTTGTGTTTTTCTAAGTGCTGGGCCTTGAGAGTTGTATGGCCTTTGACAGGGATCTCCGGGGAGAGGGGGAGGATTGATAGTTTTTGAATGGGTGGAGATCAGTGACTGAATATTTGTTTTTTTTGAAGGTGGTAGATTTAAACTCACCCAGGGTTTGAGTTACTTGCAGTGAAATAAATGAGTTTGTTCGTGTCTGGGTATGTACAAGGTAGGGAACCAGATGGGATCTCTTTGGGGTTCTGGTTTCAGCTCTACTGAAAACTGATGGCGTGATCTTGAACAGCCACGTCATTTGGCTGTCTTGATTTCCCCTCTGCCTGTTGTCTTGCTCATAGCCTAAACAGACTTCTCAAAACAAGTACTGCTGCTGTGTGAATTAGTTAGTTTATTTACATTACAGAAGCACCTGAAGGCACTGTTCTAAGATTATGTGCTGTTGAGTTAACTGGACTTGGGTTTGCTCTGTGAAAATACCATAATCGTAACAAATCATTCCACCCACCTAATAAAGTAGAATGAAGCACAGAATAGGACATGATTTAAAACTTTTTAATGGGGCCAAGTGGAAAAACAATGAGAAGTAATCGGTAAATAAGGTATTGTGCGGTTAGAGAGTATAAAAGAAAGGGAGGGATTCAAGGATGGTGCATGTGTGCCTGCTGAAAACGCTGCTTAAGGAATGTGTCTTCCACAAGAAAAAGTAGTAAGGTGCCTTTACAAAAAAAACCTATCACTTTTAATATTACTATTCATTTTTTCTTAAGCTAAACATGTATAAGTAACTGCACACAGTGAACTACAGATGCAAAATGTTTATTCTATTTTTTCTTAAGACTACTTGTTGGAGTTTGAATGTGAAATGTGGTGTCATGCCTTGTGTCTTAGTAGGGTGCTTTTCAAGAGTGCAGAAAGCAGGTTTCTTGTGCCCAAAGATCTCCCTTGACATCCCAGCCCTGGACTTGAAGTGACAGCTCACCGTGTCAAGGTGCAGTTGTTTGTTAAGAGATTTTTGCCTGCTTCCTGGAGATGATGGGGCCTCTTCTAGGAAGAGGTTTAGTGATAGCTCTGGTTATTGGCATATAGAGCTGGCCCAGCGTTATGGACTTGTAGACATGGTGAAGCAGTTTCTGAATCTATTGTTATTTGAAATTTTTTTTTTAGATATTTTTGTACCTGCCCCTCTCTTCCCTTACAAACTAGTTAAGCCTTTCCAGTATGGTCTTTCTCAAAGAAGTCCATATCTCATTTGAGAAAGTATTCAGGCTTCCAATGTATGTGTTGTCTGGCTTGGTTTTCCCATTGCCATTTAGCCTTCTGCCAAGTTGCAGCCAAAACTCTGCACGGTCCCTCTTCATGCATCTGTATAACTAGCTTCTACTGTGACACAGGTGTGTTTTGTAGAGACAAACTTTACCCAGTTTGATCAGATTTCTAAATCTGGTTTGTTTCCAAAGCTCAAAGCAAGGTTGATCAGAAATAGGTTGTTACCCTGATTTGGAACAGATTGACAAAGTTCCCATCTGTATGCCCCCAAACCCATAACCTGGCTGTAGTTCATCGAAAGGTCCTTCAACTGCAGGAAGCCTGACAAACTAATAATGCATTTTAACTAATTGCAGCAGGACTTTCCTGCTTTTAGACTTCCTCTTCAGTAACTTTGCATAAATGTGTTTGTACAGCAGAGATGTGGGGCAGATCTGTGTGACAGACTGGTGCTAGCACAGTGCTTGGTTAGGGATGTGGTGAGGTGTCTTCTGGGCTAAGGGAAGCCCGTAATGTGCCCATTGTGCTGGAGTTGGAGTGCTTTTGCTGAGAAAGTTTCATTGCAGGTTATGACTGGAAAAAAGCAGTTTCCATAATGTGATGGCTTTGCTGACCGAAGCTTCGTTTGTGCTTCAGCACTTAACACATCAGGTGCTTTGGTGCTGTAGTATAAAGCTCTTAACTGCACAGTAAGATCTTCCACAGGCAGAGTTGATCCTTTCAATTTCTGCCTGCTGAAGAGGGAAATTGTATCACTAATTCTTCTCTGATTTCCCACAGAAAAGCAAAGAAAGTTGCCTTTTGTGAGAACATTATCAGCTCTTACCCCTGGAAAAGCTGCTGAGGACAAGTGTCGAGGGCAATAGCAGCTTTGGCTCTGCGGTGTGATCCCTGTGCAGCAGTGCTCAGGAGAGCCAGAATCGCAGGGGGGACTCAAGACACAGGTGCAAAAAGAGGCAGGTGAGCAAAACAAAGGTTTCCATAATCCTGAGGGTGCATGCCACTTGGGTGTTTTCCCAGTGGGCTGCTGAGTGGGATTGCTAACGAGTGATGCATGCTGTTCTCTGAGGTACTGTAGCGTGACACTCCTCCCGTGCCAGCAAGGGGGGTGCTTGGTGATGGCAGCGTACAGCTACGCCTTGCGACCCTGACCCAAGGACTGAATTCAAACCCGTGCTGGGGAGGTGTTGGTGCCTCTTTCTACCCCTGCCACAGTCGCCTTGCGTGGCTTGGGATGAAGTCAGCCACCACACATTGCTGTGCTGGGATAGCCTTTAAATACAGACTAGAAGAGCTGGGGTTTTTGCTTGTGTTATTAACTGCTTACTTTTTATTCCACATCCCATAACTGGGCTGTCACAGATGTTTACACTTGCTACTACATTAAGAATTAAAGAAAGGTGAAATGGGCAGCTTGGTAGAATAAGAGTAGTAAGAATGGGGGGAAGAATTGTAGCTGGCAGTTCTCACAGCAGTTAAAATTTCTGACTCCAGACAGCGTGCGTGTACAGGTCAGCCAACATGGAAACTACTTCTAACAACCTGAAAAAGTTTGACTTTTTCTGGGTAGGGCTGAACTCCATCAGATTCAGCTTCTTTTGAACTTGAATTAAGCGTTTGCTGCTTGTATGCGCTGTAGTCAACTGGTAATGTAGATTTGGTGGATCATAGGTTTCTTCCAAAGAAACACAAATCTGAGTTAGTTTGTGGCGTAAAGTTGCCATGACAATGTTTTTTAAAATGTGAAGTGCAACGTGTTGCCTCTCCTCTATTTAAGCAGGCTCCTGGGGGAATGAGGCTGCAGAGGCACTGTGTCGCTCCTGTCTCTTCTTTCCTCCCCCAATTATTTATGAAAGAAATTGTTTAGTTTCAGGGGCCCAGAAGAAATTAACACAGAGGAGCTAGGAGTTACATTTTCTTAAATTCTTGAAATTCATGGGATGCTGTGGTCAAATAGAAAGAAATTGAAGCTACTACTTCCACTGTGAGAGAGGCAGGAACTCCTGTTCCTGTGCACGCTGAAGCTGGCTGGTGGCTGTGCACCCACACGGGGCGGCTTGTGGAGTCTCCTTCTCTGGAGACATTCAAACCCCTCCTGGACACGTTCCTGTGTGACCTACTCTAGGTGGTCCTGCTCTGGCAGGGGGGTTGGACTAGATGATCTTCCGAGGGTCCTTCCAACCCCTGACATTGTGTGATTCTGTGATATGCTGAAAGAGCTGTGAGGCTGGGGGGGCGGGGCAGGAGTGTAAGGCAAAAGAGTGGCTGTTTCTCTGGAAGATGAGGTTTGGAAGCAGAGGATATAAATCCAGAGTGAAGTAGGGTTTTTTGGAGTATCCATCTCAAAAGTAAATGCCAAAAAATGAAAACAGAAATATGTTTTTTGCTCTGTATGTGTGTATTATGGGCAAAAGTAGCACTCCAAAGTTTCTAGGGGTTCTGAGACATTTTGAATGCCTGTTTCCCTGGGCTTTTAAAAGGTTTTTTAAAAGCTTTGATCTGAACTAGGTTTTATTTGTCAGTCAAATATTTCCTAATCCACATATAGAACTCAAGTTTGGGGAAAACTCAGCTTATGTGGAGATGGCACGTGCAATAAGAACTTGTTTCATGGTTGCCTTTCATCATCCATTCCCTGCTTTCTACTGAAGAAAGCACTGAACAAATAATGTTCCCACTTGTTTCTTAAGAAGTAGGTCTCATGTAAAAAGTGACTATGCAGAAAGGCAGCTTTTGATCACCTGTCTGCTCCCCGGATGTATTAAAAGCTGTAAAAACAAGACAGTTTAGTGTTTCTGTTAGTATAGTAGAGCAAAGGAGCTTTGCCAGAGCTTTCTTGTTTGTTTGTTTTTCTAGATCAGACACAGAGGTGTTGACTAGGTGCTGTGGTTGTGGCTCTTGCTGCACAAACCAGACATACCTTTGTCTATCATCTTTTCAGAGCTTAGTATTTATATAGCAGAGCTGGGAATTTAAGAGAAGTGAAGTTGAGCCAGCTCAACTGAACATGGGAAAACAAACATGGAAAAGAATGTGCTAGAGAATGAAAAAAGAGAATTACTTTCTAGACCCAAATTATGCTTTGCTAGGTAGCAGCTGTCTGGCATTTACAGATTAAACAGCCGCTTAGCTAACATGCATTGACAATGATAGCATGTCCTCTGTTTTGCTTTGAGTGCATGAAATGAGGAATTAACTCTCCCATGCTGAAAGCCATAAAAGTATCTGGAAGTGTGTATGTACTCCCAACAAACATTTGAACTTGTCTGTTGCATTCAGTACCTGATCTGTGCTTTATATGACAGTGCAGAGTTAATGGTGTTAAGGCTACCTTACAAGTAGTGATGTAGTTTTATGAAATGACTTTCAACAAATGAATTTTGGCTATGAAGGGTTTTATTAAATGCATAGTCGGTTCTGAGCAATTTGGTGTGTTTTATAGTTTTCATAGCCTCATCTACATGTAAAGATTTGTGTGATCTTTTGTCTTACAGCATTCCATGTGGAACCCAGGGAGCCCGAAGGAGGCTGTGAAGCTAGTGGAATGATTCCCTGTGTAGCTGAAACTATGTAAGTATTAGACATTTGCTTACAAGATCACTCACCCAGCACCAACTGTTAGAGCAGCAATTGCTTCTGCTTCAGCAGTTGCAATGATCCTCTCTTGCCTCCCCAGTGGAAAGCTGTTGTGTATCTGTTCAGAGCTGGAAAAAGACGGGGCATGCATGATACTGTTCCCTACTCTGTTATTTTGGAAGTCGTGTATCCCTGTCCACTAAAAGGTAGATAATGCATAGTGAAATTCTGTAAGGTACTTGGAGACTATGCTGAAGTGTGTGTGAAGAGTTGAGGCTGGGTTGAGGCTTAGTTAAGCTCTAGCAATGTTGTCTTTGCCTTAGCTAGTGAACTGCTACTTGGGAAGGGATTTGATGGTTGACTGAGCCATGTCCCCTTTTGTTATTAGATTTTATAAATTAGCGTTTGAGGTATTCTTGAATGTATGGAGGGTTTTTTCCCTCTTCTCTGTTGATGCTTCCTGTGTTTTGAAACTCATTGTAAATACCTTCTGATGCAACACTTTAATAAACAGCATAATGCTTGGCTGTGTTTTGATATTCTTTGGATGTATCCAACAATTTCTAGTACTACAATAACGTTAGTCATTAAAGAAAAATACAGGGTTACTTAAATAACTCCTTTGCATCTTCTCTCCTCCTGCCAGTTCTCCCTCACTTCAGTGCTGCTGTTTTCAATTGTGCCATGGTGTACTTGTATGACAGAGAATTATTACTGAGTCACTTTGTTGTTTTGCTCTCTTCAAATCTTGGGTTACGTGCAATCTGGTCACTTGAAAATGGAGAAAAACTAGTTTTCTTACAGCACTTAAAACCAAACCAAAAGAAAAAAACCCCAAACCAAGACCAAACCTGCCCCCCCCCCCCCCCGAAGCCCCACAAAGTATGAGCAAGGTCTTTCTAATCTTCTCTAGGTTTTGCATTTAATGTATTGGCCAGTTCTACACATCCTTTATTATTAGAGGATGGCTTTCCTTTAGCTGGCTGTATTCACCGGCACTGGTGTTCCTGAGTTTCCAGTTGCTTACTCCCTTCTAGAAAGGAGCAGGGAACATCATTGTCGATCTCTGCTTTGCAGTTCCTGTTGTGTGGAAGATGGCCTCATGGGCATCTTGGTGATTCATATTTACTGTAGATTATTGCTCAATACTTGTCTGAGTAACCAAACGTCTTTGGGAGTACTGCATCCTGTAGTGCTGAGCACGTTCCAACCTTAGCCCTGAATTTTGATCTTTTTTAGTAGAATGGCAAAACTAGTGGTCAGCATGGCCTTTTGTGACTTTCTGTTATGTTGTACAAGCCTGTTACAGTAATTTTGCTCTTGGGAACTGATCCTTTTTGGGAATTGGTGCTTTGCCACCAATCCAGTATAACCTTTGGGCGTTCAGGAACTTTTTACTTGTAGTTCCCGATCCAGCTGGGAGAAATATCTCTGCATGTCCTTGCGCTCACTTAACTGTCATTGGCATGACCGAGATGTGACATTTGCATTGCTCTGCAGTTGAGTGAGTAGCTCTGCTCGCTTTCCTGGGAGTGCTTTTTCATGCTCCTTGAACACCGAGTTTGGTGCAGCTCCTGATGCTGCAATTGGATCCTCTCTCCAGCCTTCCTTAACAAAAGGGCCGAGTTCTCCCACTTGTTTCTGTCTCCTTCCGAGACTCTTGTTCCTTTCATGCCTTGAAACCTGAGTCATGTAGGAAGCGGAGGTGACTAGTAAGTGAAGTGGATCCAGCTCAGCGAAGGCATTTTATAAAAGGGTAACTGATGGAGCCAAAAGACTTTCCTCTTACAAAACCAGATACATGCACAAACTGCCAGCGGATGCAGTCTGACTTTTTTTTTTTTTTTTCTCCCAAGCTGGTTTTGCTATTTTTGGGGTAGCATCCTGCAAAGTATCTGGCACGTGGCATCAAGTTTCACGTAGTAGAAACGTGAGGATTTGCAGCATCTGTACATCAGATTCTTCCAGTGTTTGTTCATAACAAGTAGGATTATGCTCTGAAAACCTCCTCGGCAGGGAGGAAGAAGGAAGAAAGAACTCCATTACTGCAGGGAAGAGCAGTGCTAGCAGAGCCCAGGCAGTGGCTGTTCAGGAGCAGCAGTCAACTCCCTGTAAGGCAAGAAGGTTGGAGTACAGAAAACAGGTTTGTTAGAGGGGTACCCTGTGGGGGATGTGGTTAGGTTACGCTCCATGGGTTAATGGTACTGTGCTCTGCAGTGGTTTTTTGGAAACAGCTGTTGGGTCGCTTCCTCACATACAGATGTTTAATAATGCTGGCTGACCTTCCCTCTGTGTTGTAATGCTGTCTTTTCATGACAGCAAATGACAATAAACCCTGTCTGTTTCATCAGACTGGTGATGTCACTTTGTAGGCTTTGATATTAGATTGTTATCATCGTTAATACAAGCTGTTGCTTAGGAAGCGTGACAGCATGAATCACTTCCATTAGGAAAATTTATGGGTAGAGTAAGTTAGTCTTGCAAACTGTCTTTTTTTCTTTAACTTTAAATTGGTATTCCTAAAGTGAATTGGATTAATCTCTGTCCATTATGCTCCATGTGATTTGACAACTATCAGCTACTTCAGAGGAAAGTACCATTCACTAATAGGCAGCTATTCTTCAACCTGCCCATAGGGAAAAGCTGTTGTGAATCCTCAACAGCTAATAATTGCTGTTATGTGTTTAAGCAGAAAGTTTTATAAACCAGCTAAACGCTACATTAATACTAGTGTTTTTGCAGGATTTATTCTGTTCCTTTACTTGCATGCTGCTTCTCTCTAAAGAACTTAGCCAAAGTAGTGCTAGCTGCCTTTGGGAAACTGATGGGAGAACAAGAATTAGTGTAGATTGAGCATTTGAATTCTGATTAACTTAAAGGCGGGGTGGGGGGAACAACGAACGAAGGAAGGCTGCTATCAGGGAGTTAATTGCTAAGCAGTAATTTACACTGCCTAATAATATCCTGTTTCTTTCGGTGTAATGAAAAAATGACTGGTGTAGACTGGAGAAGAGGATGTTGCTCAGATGCATGGCAGCACAGGAACCAGTGCCAGGCTGTACTCTGCGATTCACTCTGCTGTGAAGTACTAAGAACCAGTGAAATTGTCTTTTGGGTGGTTTGTGTGGAAATGCATATTTTAATGAATCCTTTAAAATACAAATGAGTAAGAAATTATTCTTGAATACATTGAATTGAACTTTACTTGCCTATAAATATGATGCTGCAAAGTTCATCTTTAAAGCAGTTTGATGAAAGGATGTACCAGATGTTTGTTCCTTCTGCTTCTTAAAAATAGGTTTATGTTAGTTTTGTTCGTGGGTTATGGGCTTAAGAAAAGGGATTGGGGAGGGGAAGGGAAGCCAGGTAGTTGAAATCAGCACCTTGGCCGTTGTAGTTGTGCTGGTAAAAATACTTTTTTTTTGCACATGAAACTGTGTATGTGCTGTCAAAAAAGGTGTATTGGCTGAGAGAAGATTTATGTTTGTAATCCTAATATTGGAGAATTCGTCTGCACTTGGTGCTGCTGTTCCAAGTTCGTTTACAGCTTAAAACAGGGGTTCAATCTTAGAAGAGCTTTACCCAAGAAAGAATACAGAAAACCTGACATGACATCTATTTTATTTCTTCATTTTTAATTTTTATCTCTTTTCTTGTTCTAATTCTGTAACCTGGAACCAGTAAACAAAGACAAGGCAAACCCAAGTTTATGTTTGAGGCTTTTGCCTAACTGACAGCAGAGAGGAAATGCAAATAACTGAGTAAAGCAGCAATATGATAAGCAATTGCTTTCCTGGAGTTGATGTTTCTGAGAAATGAACTGTCCACGGTGTGGCTGCATGCTGATAGGATAGTGTCAGTGGTAGTTTGGTTTTAATAGGGACAATTTAAGAATTACCTTTCTTGTGGGTAAAATATTTTTTCCAAATATGCAAGGCTTTAACATTGTGATTTGTAAAAACAGTATGATTAAATCATTTTGGCATTTTTGTTTTGTTTAAAAAAAAATGAACTGGAATTACTACTTCTTATCTGCATGTTTGTCTGTCTGAAAATGTCATTAAAAAGGCCCCCTCCTCCTGTCTGTCTCATTACCTGAAGGAGGAGTCTATTTGAAACAATAATTCCTAAACACCATCCTGCCAACATGCTCTGTGTGTGTGTTAAGAACGAAAATCTAGATTCCAAAATCTGTTTAAAAACCCAAACCAAACCAAACCGACAACTCCTTCCACTTCT